TTTTTTTTTTTTTTTTTTTTTTGCGTTAGCTGGTTTTTTTCCTATTTGCAGTCCCTGGGGTTTCCTTGAAGCCCTGTACCTGCATTTAACATATTTTTTAGTTTTTGTTCAATAGATTCATGTATGGTTTGTTTCTTTTGTTTTCCGTGTTTTTTTCGTGTTGCAGGAGAAAATTTTCAAAAAACCTACAATTCATGATATGTGAGAATGAGGTATGGTGTGTTTTGGTCCCCTTAGTCCACTGCGTGTTTTGGTAGTCTAGTTTTGATTTTTAGAGGAATGTCTTGAGTGTTGTATTTTCCGATGGCGGCGATGAGAGGGTTAAGGTGGTTCTCATTGTATGATCTAGCTAGTGATTTTTTGATGTATTCTTTGATGATGGGGATTTTGGCGATTTCGTGTAGGATGTTACATTTTACGATACTCTAAGTTGCAGTTTGCGGCTATGTGTCCAATTCGTTGACACCTCATCCATTGTGTACGATCTTTTTTTGCTATTTTTTGCATTTTATATAAGTGTGTAGTATTGTTTTTATTTGTTTTAAGTTATTTGTGTTACTGTTTGGTGAGATTTGTACTATATATATCGGTAGGCATCTGTTTTCTGCTTTCGACTTTCTTGTGGAGAACTTTTTCACTGACAAGAATTTTATGTCGTCGATTTTTTTTTTTTTTTAGCTCTTGGAGGACGATTTCTGTGTCGAAATCGCCTTCCAGGTCCTTCAGCAGTATTGTCTGATTTTTTTCTGTCCTTGGCGTGTGAAGTACTGTATTTTACTTAGCTTGAGTGTTTCGCAAGCTGTTTTGTGGTTACTTAGTGTTTCTGTTTGTAATATTCTTTTGTTGTTATTTATTCGTTTTATATAAAAATTTTTCATTTTTTTATGGAGTATACTTATTGTCTGTCCTACTATGTTTTCGTGGAGAATTATTGGTGGGGATTTAGTCTGTTTGTTGTTGCTTGTGGTGTTGTTCGGTAGTGTAACAGGTTGTGTCTGTGATTGGGCTAGAGATTGTGCTTGTGGTTGATTACCTGTATTGCTGGTTGCTGGCTGTTTTGGTGGCTGGGGTGGTGAGAACGATGCGGCTAGTTTTTTGGCGGTGGTTTTCCGCTTTTTTGACGCTTGTGGTTGGTTATCGTTTGGCATTGTTTGTTTATTTTCGCGTTTTCTGGAACTATGACCCATGATTGGTTGTCTTTTTCTTTTTCCTCTTGTGTTATATCGATTTCTGCTGTTTCATGTTTCGGAGGTTTTCTTGGCGACGTTCCGGTTTGGTCGTGGTTTCTTCTAGTCGTTTTTTGCAACTTTTCTATTATCCGACTGAGTTTGTCATTTTGTTGAATTAGTTCTTCGTATGTTGGGGGTTTTGTATTATGTGTTCTTTGTTCTATTTTGTTCTTTGGTGTTTCTGTTTCCTGTTTCAGTTTTTTCTTTGATGATATGATTGTCGGTGTTGGGTTTAGCCTTTTGTTGGATTTATTTTGGTTTAGTATTTGTTGTATTTTTTTTTTTTTTTCTAGTTCTGTATCATACGATTTGGCGTAATTTGAGATTGAATTGCTACTTGTTTTATTTATTCATCTATTGATTTGTTTTTGTTGATGTCATTTCTTTTTGTTCTTTGTTCTTCGGGGATGTCCCCGAGGAACTTTACCCTTTAGATTTCCGTTCTAGATTGTTTCTCTTTTTTTTTCTTCTTTGTTTTTTGCACTGCGGTGAACTTGTTTGCACTGTTTTATATTTTTTTTCCTCTTTCTATTGTTTTTTATTAATATTTTTTTGTATTTGTACGCACTACGCTATTCGCTCATCAAAGGTATACTTGTCTCGAACTCTCAGGTATCGTAGAGTACGTCCTCACCCTGTGAAAGTCTAGGCGAGAATGGCCGGTCCAAGTATGGACCTTTGGGGGCATCCTTTTTTCATCTTCGTGGTGTATTTCTTTGCTGTATTTTGTATGGTTACTTTGAAGTATCTTCTGATAATTGTGACCATGTGGGTGCTGCACTTGACCTCGGTTGTTCTCGTCAGCATTGCTGGCCACCAGATATTATCAAAAGCCCCTTCTACGTCCACAAAAAGTGCAACTGTGTATTTTTTGCTCTTGGTTTTTATTGCCTTTTTTACACTTAGGAAAGCGTCGTCGACGCCTTTTCCTTTTCTGACGCCAAACTGTTTAGGGCTCTCTAGCCCTTGATCACTATATGTTTGTTGTACTCTACGGACTATGATCTTTTCATAAACCACAGACAAGAGGGTTATGGGTCTGTATGAATTTAGAAGTCTTTTATCCCTTTTCTCGCCTTTTAGTATTATTTTCATGTTGGATTCCTTCCAGACTTTTGGAAACTGTCTGTGGATGAAACAACTGTTATATAAGCTCGGCAAAATTGTTGGTTTATACTTCCAAAGGTCTTTGATAATTTCGATCTTGAAATTATCAAGGCCAGGTGCCTTGTTGTTTTTTCATGTCTCGATGGTTGACTTTATTTCATTTTGTGTTATGGGTTAGGCTGGGTTCCTCCAGGTTTAGGTTTTGTAGCAACCCAGCCTTCTCTTCATTTCTTTTGACTCCTCACTCTGTTCCATCTCCCTTGGAAACGTATTTTGTAAGAAGCGCCTGCATTGTTTCGTCAATATTAGATGTAATTTGACCGTCAGGCGAGCCATCCAGACGAGCGGCTTCTTCATTTTTCCCCGGACAATTTTATAGATAATGCCCCAAGGGGCAATTTCCTTATTTCCTTACGTTTTTACGAATTCCTGCCAGATTTCTTTTTTGGATTTTCTAATCTCTTTCGCATATTTGTTTCTGATATAGGCGACCATAGGAACGGATTGTTTCGAGAAGAGGTCTGTGCCTAGGAAGGGGGATGGCTGATTGGACGACAATGTCGGACTGTCGAAAGACTTTTGAGAAAATATCTCACGCCTCGAATTCTTTATTCTTTTTCCATTTCACTGATTTCCTTATATGTTTCTGTATAGTCATTCAGCACCTTAACGAGGTGTAAGTTGCCTTTTGGCCGCTGTTACTTTAGTCTATCAATTCTTGGTTCCACCGCGGCACTGTTCTTTCTGCTGTCTTTCTCCTTAGGATGGATTTTTAACAACAATTTTCCAGTTTTTTGTTGAATACCCTCACGGCTTTGTCAGTCGGCAGGGTGCTAATTCGCTCAATAGCATCATCACTGAAGTTTAGGTCTATTTGCTCTCTGAATTTACGCCAGTCAGCTTTCTTTATGTTGTATCCACGGTCCGATTTCCAGTTTAGATTAGCATTATTGCATTTTCCTAGTTCAACAGTGATCAAGTTGTGGTCGCTTGTAGTGTAACTACAGTCCACTTTCCACGACTTAATACTACGAGCAAAATTTTCTGTGGAAAGTGTTAAATCAATATTTGATTGCCCACTCGCACTTATATGCGTGGGCGGGTTATTTGGCTTGTTTAGTATTGTTAGGTTGTTCTCTGATATAAATTCTTCGAGCAATGTCCCCTTTTCATTGATTCGGCCTACCACAGTGATAACTTTGCGTTCGCGTCCATCTTAATTAGGACCTTTTCTGCCGGGAAACCATTATCAGACTCTGCAGTGTGCCTAGAAAGCCCTCGAGAGGGGCCGAATATTGACAATACAGATTTATTAGTATGAACTCAGTGTTCTTTGACAGGATCTTAAAGCAATATGTGCTTATTTTCCTCTCCGACACTTAGTAGAACCTCCACCTTATCCTTGTTTATTACCGCAGCTACCCATGAGTAGCTGCAGCCTTGGGATTTTATTTTTATTAGGTTTAGAGAATTATATCCCCTTAGTTTTCCTTTATAACAGAAGGATTCCTATATACAAAGTATATCAATCCCTTTTTCTTTTGTTAAAATCTCTAGGTTAGCAGCAGCCGCTGCGGATCTTTGGGCGTTTATTTGACCTAACTTCAGTCCCATTTTATGCGACTGTTGTATAGTTCAATAAACCGCCTGTACTCAGGGCAGTCCGTGTTGTGTACCTCATGCTTTGCGTCTTTTCGTTTCGCCCTAATGCAATTAATGCATTGAGGGTTATTCTTTTTCGGGCAGTCCTTTTTAAGACGGTCATTACTGCCACAGACAATTGCTCAGGTATGCTGCATGCCTTTGCAATGTGTCCATAACCATGACACTTGTAGCATCTGGTTATGTTCATATATTCACTTACTTTCTAAGTCCTCCACATCAAAAACGCTCTTCCAGTATTCGTCAGCCTCCTGAAGAGCTTTGCTGGTAACTGTACAATCCACCCTCCTTTCATCTTTGTTTTTAAAACAATACACAAATCTGATTGTGCTTTTAAGCTCCTCAAAATCTGAGTCAGAAACAATGTCGAAGTTCTTTCTGATCAGATCTTCTTTAAGATCGCTTTCTTTGTACTCCCTTTCTATGTTGTATGTTACTACATAAGGGTTTATCTTCTTGAGCCTCTCCACTACCAGGACTATTTTATTTAATTCGCAACCCTGGATGGTCTCGACGTCCTTGTGGTTTTGGACCTCTACCACCAGGCCTTGCTTTCTCATTTGACGTACTAACGTACTTGGCTGAGTTCCCGCAGCACCGGTGCCAGGATTTTAGCCGGGATTCCATCCGGGCCCGGGGTGGTGTTTTTTCTAGCCATTCTCTTTATCGCGGCTTCTAGCTCTTCTTCTGAGATTGGCAGAATTGGAGAGTCGTCTCGCGTGTTCCGTCAAGCTGCTCTAGTTAGGTTAGGGTTCTCTTCGTTTCCACTTTTTTCGTTTGGAAAAAGTGCATCCAGAATACGGTCTAGCTGCTTCGGGTCAAGAGATTCCGTGATAGGTGCGGTCCTGGGACGGATCTTCCCTAGAACAACGCGGTAGGGGCGTCCCCATGGGTCTTGGTCGAGAGTGTCGACCAATTCCTGCCATGCTCGGGTCTTAGCTGCTGTGATGATGTTCTTCAGCTTCTCGATTGCAGCCCGATACCGCATGTGCAGAGATTCCTCTATGGTGGGGCTTCTCTTTTTCCTTCTTCGAGCTCGTTGGAACTGCCGACGGGCCTTCGTGCCTCCTTGATGTCCGCAGACCACCAGTAGACTGGCATTGTTCTACAGCGCGGCATGGCAGTGTCGCAGATTTCTGTCAATGCTTGGCGGAACCATTCGGCTTCGGTAGCCGGGTCGATTGATTCAGGAATGGCAGGCCAAGACTTCGCAGCCGCTGCGGCCATAAGTAGGTCCATGTCTAACTTCTTTAAAGCCCATCTAGGGTTTGTCAGTTGCTTGGATACGCACGGACAGGGGCGTTGGGATCTGCCTGTTATATAGCCGTCGTTTCCGGTTTCAGGAAGACGGAGGCGTATCTTAATATAAAGGTGATCGCTCAAGGTCTCGGCGTCTTCCATGACCTTCCAGTCTCGTATGTGCGCTAGCGCCGCAGGAGTAGCCCACGAGATGTCCACTATTGACTCTCCCTGCCAGCGGATACAGGTACTAGTATCTCCTGTGTTGAGCAGTCGTAGGTCCTGGCCCGCTGCCCATTCTGCGGTAGCGCTGCCCCTGGCGTCCAGCTTGGTGGCGCCCCAAAGGGTGTTCTTTGCATTGAAATCTCCAAGCACTAATATAGCCTGCGTTGGGGAGGATGTGATACTTGCGCTTATTTCATCCAATAACCTATTAAAAGATGATAACGGCCAGCTGGGGGGAGCGTATACTCCAATTATCGCTAAATTCCCCCAAACTGCCGCTACGTAGCCTCGGCCGCGTTTTAGGACCCTAGCTTGGGGAGCTACTGGGATAGGTCTATGAACAATTGCCACCAGGCCCCCTCTGTCTCCTATCCAATTTGGGTTATCAGCAATTCTGTATGGCTCTGCGACCACGGCCAGCCCAGCGTTCCATTCAGCCATTGATTGAGCTAGGATACTTAACTTTTAGTGTCCTTCGGACACTTTCCAGCTTTTTAAACACGTCGGCTATTATCTGGTCATTGTTTCTCTTTTCCTCTTTTTTGGGCTTAATTAGTACCACCTCGTTTTTTTCCTTAAGTGGTATTTTATTTCCTGTCTCCATAGCTTCGTCCTCGTGTCGCCCCTCTTTTGACGGTTCTTTGACTCGGATTTGTTCTGATTTTTGGTGCAGTCTGTTTCTAGTTTCAGGACAAATGATTCAAGAACATCGTTTATATCGGCTCCCTCGACGGAGCCTCTTTCGGCTAACGCTATTATTCTATTTTCGACCTGTTGGAAGTCATTACTTTCTTCCACAGGTAGCGTTCTTATTACCTCCTTGAAAGCCACTTCGAAATTCGGGCTTACTGGCCTTTCAAGGGGAGCCGCATCTATCTCTTCCGTGGCCGACTCGTACTCGCTGTCACTATTTTGTTTCGTCGGACCATGGTCCTCTCTTTGAGCAAATAGGAGTCTTCTTTTATCCCCAATTTGTTTACATGTCTTTGAGGGGATATGCTTCTGTATTGCTGCGTTGGGCTGTTTGAGGTGTTTATATCGATCGTTTAGACTTACTAAGAGATCGGTTTTTTCTTTGGACCAGACAGTTATCCTCTATCCTCTGCTCTTAGTAGCTCCCTCAATTATTCTCTTTTGGTTCCTAATGTTTGGGTGCCATCGGATCTCATGTGCCGCCAGTCCTCTCTTAGTTGCGTATGACTTCTCGCAGGCGCTGCATTTATATTCCAACTGGGCATTGATTGTTGGTCCTTCGCACTTTGGTATATGGTACTTACAGCCGTGTAGCCTATCAAATTCCTTTCGGCATGCAATGCACGTCCATATAATCTTCATGTTTGCATGTTGCTTGGCAACATGATCTGCAAACTGACTTTCTTTTAAAACATGTCTGCCGGACGCTTGACAACCGTGGCACCCAATTTGCCCATTCAAAGGGAGGCCACTCGTTGAGATTGCTCGTTTCCACTGGACGTGCCGGGGTCGTCAACATTGGCCCTTTGGTCCATAGCGGACATGTTCGCCACGGATGTCCCAGGGCCGGGAACATCCGTGTCCAAAGCCTCATCGTTAGATTGCATCAATGGCTATTTTGTAACTTTGAAATCATTGTGTGTTTCCAGTCGTTCCTTCTCAAGTTCATTTACATAGCCAGGTCTGCGCAGCCATCAATCCGGTAGTCGGGGATCCCCGAATAGCTGATTAATGCTTGTAGGATGTATTTTGTTATTCGAGGCACTAGGTACCTCTTGAGAGGTTGTCCGTCTCAGCCTTTTATTCCATGATAGATGTCCTTCTTCGGCATGCTGGGGATCCCGTTGTATAGTTCAGGAAGATGGGGTTGCAAACTCCCAAACGACGTGCGCTTCGTCGCCTCTTCCATTGGTGTTTTGGCCCCCTCCGTTAGCTAGGACCGGGAGCCACATGGTCCCTTGCTCGGCGCCACGTTGCCTTTCCCAATGGCTGAACGTGGAGGTCGGCTTTGGGGATGGTTTACTGACAGAATCAAGGCGGCGTTAGGAGACCTTGCTCATGAAACCATCCCCCGTTCGGCAGATGTGTGCACAGGAAAAGTTACCAAGTCAGTGGGTTACAGGACTGCGGGAGTTGGACTTCCCGTAGGAGAAACCCATGAGGCACCCTAAGGAAGTCATAGCCCTGTAGACGGGAAAGGAATCCTACGATCAGCCTTACACTTCATTGATATAGACCCTGCTGTGCCTCCTCCCTTGCCCAAAGGACTAAGACAGTTGCCCCACCCCCCAAGAAACCTTAAGGGAGTCACAGCCCCGTCGCACACACCTAGGAGTATTCTCTATCTCTCAGATACTAGACTGACCCGAGGACCAGTCCGGTACGTCATTGAGAATAGAGCCACTATGTTTTCTGCTCTTGTCACAAAGACAGCGGAGAGACGAATTCTTTACCAGAGGGCACCCTTAAGAGAGTCATAGTTACTCCCGCCCCGCTCGGGAGTACCTATGAAGAATACTTCATTAGTACCACCTCGTATTTTTCCTTAAGAATAACTTCTTCGCGTCTCTTCTATTAACAACTTCGCTATCTCACTATCACATTCTCTCTTACACTCTATATAATATATCCAATATATATAATATATTGTTCTCTATATAATATATCCATCATTATTATCGTATTTATTACGCATATTTTCTTGAGAATATATATTACTCTCGTTCGTTATAAAACAGTTATTTCCAATTCAATATAGAACTCTTCGCATTCCAAATATCTTTTCATGTGCCATTACCTGAAAAAGAATCATGTTTACACAAAACATATACAAAAGCGTATTTTAATAATATAATAATTCGTATGTATGTATGTATGTACACAGCCGTGAACGTATACATATTACATACACGTACATTAATAAATGAACGTTCAACAGATGTACGAATTATCGTTTTAGAGTAAGTCGAGAAATTACATTTACAGCCTGTGCGTATGTGCCAGGTTCGTTTCGCGGTTTACCCGCATTTTTACACTTTTCACTTAAGATCTTATTTTCAAGTGTGCTCTGGAGCCGGGACTCCATTGCTGCCCACTTTTCAAGAATAAATCTTATAGCAGGTCTGTTTATTTTATTCGACTCATCAAAAAGGCGCGCGGCCCTTGTGACCCTTCCGCTGGTAGAAGTTGCTTCGCCGGTGTTGTTGCTGCCCCCACCCTGAATGTTGTCTTCTTCTTGAGTGGGGGGATCTGCCTGAGTGCGAAGTTGGCGTCGTCATCGTCTTCCTCGCACTGCTGGGGTTGCACAGACGCTGTCCTCGTCGTCCTCCTCGTCGGGAAGTCGCCTACGACACCGCGCACCCCGAGGACTCAGGAGTGGTGATGGGTGTTTGCGGTTGCGGTGTCGAGACGACTCCCGAGGAACGTCAATCCCCGGAAGACACCCGCTCGATGCTCGCTGGGTTACTTTAAACTAAAATCGGTGGGATGGGATCGCACGCTGGAACGCCATCGACGCATCGACGCCTCCGTGACCCTCTCACCCGGTGTCAAATTGTTAAAATCGCTCGGAGTGTTAAAATTATTAAAATTGTTGTTTAAATAAATAGAGTTAAAATTAGAATTAAAATTGGAGTTAAAATTCTTGACCATGCCCGAGCACCTGACGGTCCCCATCACCAGGGGTGACGGGGGACTCCTCTGTGCAACGGAGTCTTCTTGGTGATCTTGGATCGGCGTTAAGCTCACTACACAGGAAGGCCGGCAGTCTCCTGTTCCCGCTATTGTCGTTGTTGTCGTGGTGATGCTCGGTCACGACGTCGTCCTGTTGCGATTGAGCGAAAGTCCTCGGCTCTGATGTTCTTGTGGTGCAACGTGTAACTGTTGTGTATGTGGCTGTTGTGGACGTGACAGTTGCTATAGTAGGTGTAATCGTTTTCTGTGCAAGTGTAGCTGTAGTGATGTTGCATGTAGCCTGTGAATCTGTTCTTGTGTTCGTCTTCCCTGTGGTGTGTGTGTGCGTGTGTTTGTAGTGGTGGTGGTGCCTGGTTGCACCCGGAGGGTCGTCTGCCCTGCTTGTGCGTGGTGTCTCTTGACGGGTACGCATCTCTGCCCGCGTATCTGCAGATGCCGTACACCCACATAATCGAAAGGGCAGGGTGGTGGAACTTGATATGCTTGCAGATGTCACCCATTTTTTTGTCGGTCCCTCGCAGCTTCATGCAGACAGCCGTTGGCCCGGCGTAGCAAAGCGGACAGGCGATTATCTTCGAGTGAGAAAACTCCAGCTGCACCACAGAGGTGTCGCCACTAATGTAGCGAATGCTACTTCCGCGCAATTCGAAACAACGCCACTTACATCCGCTAAAATAGTTTGTCGCAAGGTGAGTTTAGGTGCGTTTGGTGAAAAGTAGAGGCAATGGAAGAGCCAACTATCGCTCCCACGCATTCACTTTTCTTTTCCTAAAGCAGCGGATGTCCCAAGTGGAGTTCCTAGAATCTCAGTCACTTGGCCTGGAAAAAACAAAAGTTCTTTCCTGAAAACGACTGATTCCAAACTTTTTCTCGAAAATACTCAGAATAACAGAAAGCAATCCTTGAAAGGAGCGGATTTTAGGTATTCCTCTACACTTGGAGCGTCGTACATTAGAGCCTTGTACGAGACTACATTCCTGGTGTTTGGACTTTGTCGACTGAGACGAATCACTTGCACCGAGGTAAGGCACGTCTACGGTGCATGAACGCATCGTAGCGCCAGACTGTCGCCTTGAGTCCCAAGTGTGGGAGAAGGGGCACAAACCCGAGCATCGTCCAGTTCGTTTTGAACAACCTCGAAGTCACTTCGGCAACGTAGTGTTAGTCTTTTTTGTGTAGTGCAAGTTCTCTTGTGTGTGACCAAGGTCAACCAGTGAGCAAATTTCAACAAATAACGCTCTCTCTCTCTGAGTTTTAGGCGAGAACTTGATTCAGCAACGAATCAGGAATTCTCTGTCGAGAATTCATTTTACCCACGTGCGAAGTACTGCAGAGTTCCTCTCCAGAAATTGAGACGATCAGCACGAGCAAGGATTTTTAGCAGTGAAGCCAGACGACAGGCGTGCTTTAGACATTCAGAGGACTTTCTCTCTGAAGTCAAAGATCACGATAGCTCTCCCAATCGGGAGCCTAAAGCTACTCCGTGCGATCACATTCCGTTTCAGCGATTTTTACTGTAACCCGTGTGAGCTGCGTGAGCTGCTGTCTTCTCAGCGACGGCATCAGTGACCTGCGTAAGCTGCTGTCTTCGACAACATCTGTGTGAGCTGCGTGAGCTGCCTTTGCAGCGAACAACATTCATTTCAGCAAGCGTTCTAGTCTTCACAACTAAGTAGCGCTCATAAACGACACTTCACCATCGCGAGCAGTTTAGTTGTGCAGAACGTGGTCAGGAAATATACGCATTTAACATCTATTCGTCTGTGTCGATCCCT